CCAAATATAATGAGAAGGAATAAAGATACATCTACCAATGTCTTATCTTTGAAACCAATTAAATTGATTTACCACAAGGAAAATAAATACAGTTATATAAATTTCATTTTGGATGAAAACAACCCCAAATAATACTTTCCTTTTTAAAAAATATTTTTTATTGATTTCAGATAGGAAGAAAGAGGGAGAGAGAAAGAAACATCAGTGATGATAGAGAATCATTGATCAGCCACCTCCTGCACACCCCACAGTGGGGATGGAGCCTGCAACCTTGGCATGTGCCCTGACTGAGAATTGTACCATGACCTCCTGGTTCCTAGGTCAATGCTCAACCACTGACCCACACCAGCTGGGCTCAAATAACACTTTTTATGAAGAACTTCTGCCAAGTCCAGTGAAACTGGAACCAAATTGAGGGAGGAAGCTGACACAGTTTCCATGATGACAGCTCATGGGCAGAGCAGACAAAGTGCATAATATACTCAGAGGAATAAAATCAAAGACACCTTGTTTATAACTAGATCCACCATATGTATGAGGACTGCTCCTGAAAAAAAGAACTGATCACCTAGAAAAGAAAAGCAGAATTAAAGACATAATTAAAGTGTTCCTTAAAAATAAAATTTGAATCTGACTCGGGTGAGGGAGAAATGGGGAGTTGTTTGATAGATGAAGAGTTTCAGTTTTGCAACTTGAAAAAAGTTTTGGAGATCGGTTGCACAAAAACATAAATGTACTTAACACCATTGAACTGTATACTTATACATGGTTTAGATGGTAAGTTCTATGTTCTATGTATTTTACCACAAATAAAAACTAACATTAATAATAAAATGTGAGCCCTAGCCGGTGTGACTCAGTGGATAGAGCCTTGGTCTACGAGCTGAAGGGTCCCAGGTTTGATTCAGGTCAAGGGCACATGCCCGGGTTGGAGGCTCAATCCCCAATAGGGAACGTGCAGGAGGCAACCAATCAATGATTCTCTCTCATCATTGATGTTTCTATCTCTCTCTCCCTCTCCCTGCCTCTGAAATAAAAATATTTTAAATAAAGAAAGAAATATAAAATAAAATTTAAAAATGGCAATCTACAGATTGAACGGAAAACAGATTTAAAAAGACAAATGCTGAGAACTGTCTAAATAAAATTTCTTATATTCAAAGATTTTTTTAAAAAGAATCATTATAAAAAGGGAAGGAGATTAAGTACAAACTTCCAGTTGTAAAATAGGTGATAAGATGTAAAGTACAGCCTAGGGAATATAACTAGGTATTTGATAGGTGAATACTAGACTTATTGTGGTGATCACTTTGTAAGGTATAAAAATGTTTAATCACTATGTTGTACACCTAAACTAATATCAAATTGCATTTCAACTATAATAAAAATTTAAAAATTTAAAAAGAATCATTGGGCATTCAGGCAAAACTATCAGCATAGCTACTGAAGAACTGAGGGGGAAGAGTCTTATATAATAAAAGCCCAATATGCTAAGTGTCCAATTGACCAGTAGGCCATTTGAACAATCAAAGCATAATATGTTAATGATATGCTAAAGCCCCTCAACCACTCACTATGACATTCACTGACCACCAGGGGCAGATGCTCCAACCAGTAGGTTAGCTTGCTGCTGGGGTCCAGCCAATCAGGACAGAGCAAGATGGGCCTAACACATCCTGGAACCCTCCCACAGTCCCTCCCCATCTGGCCAACCTCCGGGGTCCCTCCACGCCACTGTGCACCCATGGGGTCCCTCTGCCTGGTCTGCAGCCTCTCACAAACAGAACCCCTTGGACGGTGTTGGAGAGTTTTGGCCCAATCCCACAGACCCACACAAATTTGTGCACCAGGCCTCTAATTATATATATGATTAGAGGTTGGCTTCAAACTAACACCAAAAGGGTAGAGGAGTCTTTACAAATTCCTCTAGAAGAAGAAAAATGAGACCCAAGCACTTTGTACTTCCTCAAATTATTTTTCCAGTCTAAAGGTGACAGACAAGTATTTTCAGAATGCAAGAATTCAAGACATTCCATTCCTATGACCCTTAAAGAAAAAAACCTATTAGATTATAAACTCTAGTCAGCCAAGAGATGAATGGATAAAATTAGGTAAAAAAAGATTAGCTGCAAATGCTAAATTCATTTTCATGCAAGATAAAAGCTAAATTGCTGAGGAGTTATGGCTACAGAGCAGAGTTAAATGTTATAAACTATGAGAATGTAACAAAAAAAATCAGAATGGGAATGCTGGGGATAGAGGAGAGAACGGGAATTAATAAAAATAGGCTAACTTACACAACTTTTATAGGATATCAAAAACTATTTTCATCTGCTAATGCAATAATAAAGCTATAAAGGAAACCATGAAAATAATTCATACTATAATTCATGAAAAACATGATAAAGAACTGAGTGCATTATTTGAAGTTATGGTTAAACAAGAATCAGTAGGACTATTAAAACTACACATATTTAAATTATTTAAAAAAAACTACACAAAAAATGAAATACAAACCATATATCAAAAAATAAATAATAATAATGAATTGTTAAGATGAAAGGATAACATTGAAAAGATAAAACTAGCACCAAACACACATTTCATATGAATAAATAAAAATAGCACTAATTCATGTATTAAAAGCAAAATATTCCCAGATTGGGTCACAAAGCAAAACTAAACTATAAACAGTAGATTCCTCCCTCCTTCCCTTAATGATTCAGTGCAAAATCCAATAGATAGAGTCACCAAATAGGTCTCTGCATGGGCGGGGTCGGGGTGGGGGGCATGCTGAAAAGCTGGAGCTGAGTGTTGGAAGTGGAGAAAGATGATGAGGGTGTCTGCCCAAGGGTACTGGGAACGGAGGAGAGGGAGTGTGCAAGTACTGATCTGGTGGGGGGGTATCAGCAAACAAGCAGGATGAGAAGGAGGTCTACATGGTGTAGGGTAACTGAGCTGGAATTCTGTGGTACCAGACTAGAATTAGAGGCAACAGTGAGAACTTATTGGGAGAGATATATATGATTTATTTGTGTGAATGTACATACATTCACACAAATATATATTCCCTGTCTTTGACCAATGGAAGGGCCTAGAAGCACTGACATTCCAAGAAGCTGCTATATCTTCATTTCTAAATACCACTAAAAGAATAGAGATTCTTGGAGAAATGGCTGATACCAGGAGTAGCACAGAGAAAGTACATGATGAGCCTGGAATGCCTAGCTGTACTAGAAAGTTAAAAAGTGCTCAAAAAATAATGAAGACATGTCAAAAGAATACATAAGCTAACCAGAAAGTTAGCTTAATTCTATCACTGTCAAATTGTCTCAGACTAGCCAAGTTCAATGGGAAAGGAAAATATAATAATAATAATTAATTATAATTATAATTATAATTATAATTATAATTATGGTAACAGGATTATAATTTACTTACTAAAATAAAAGTCGTATATAAATGTGCATGTATTATTTATTTGTATTAGTGTATATACATGGGGAAGTGAAAAAGGTTTTTCCTGACAGTAGAATAGCAGCTAATGAATGCAGAAGTAATGAATGAACTAGAAAATCACTATTTGACAACAATTTCAGGAATAAATAATTCAGCCCCCCAAAAAATCAATGAGTGCTAAAACTAATTGGCAAAAATTTGATGAGTAACAGGACATTTACATAACTTCAAAGTACCTTCCAACAATATATTTATTAATTACAAAGAGAAAAAAAAAGTAACTTTACAGTGGAGAAATCTGCCAGGCATTGTGTTAAACAGTGATCAAAGTTAACATCACAAAAACGGGACAAATAGAACTTATGCAACACCTAATAAAATGTAATATGAAGAATACAGTGTCACTTCTTGCTATTCCTGCCAAAAATACAGAACCTGAATCTAATCATAAGAAGACATTAGATAAACCCAAATCAAGAGACATTCTATACAATTGGTCTGTAGTCTTCAAAACTGGAATTCACAAAAATCAAGGAAAGACTGAAGTACTGTGAAAACTAAACATTAATCCTTGATTGGATCCTTTTGTTATATGGGACATTATTAGTACAACTGGCAACATTCACATGGGGACTGTAGTTTACATGGTAATAAGGTATCAATAGTATACCAAATGTTAATTTTCTGATTTTAATGGTGGTATTGTGGTTATGATGAAAATAGTCTTGTTTGCAGGAATTATACAAAATTCAATAGAAAAGTAAGTCAGGTCCTAGTCAATTTGGCTCAGTATTAAGAACGTCAGCAGGTGGACTGAGGGTCACAGGTTTTAATCCAGTCAGTTGCAGGCTCAATCCTCAACACCAATAGGGGCACAGTAGAAGGCAACCAATTAATGTGTATCTTTCAAATGATGTTTCTCTCTCTGTTTCTCCCCCTCCCTTCCACTCTCTCTAAAAATGAATGGAAAATCTATCCTTGGGTGAATAAAAAAAAAGCAACCAAGAAGAAGAAGAAAGAAAGAAAGAAAGAAAGAAAGAAAGAAAGAAAGAAAGAAAGAAAGAAAGAAAGAAAGAAAGAAAGAAGAAAGAAGAAAGGAAGGAAGGAAGGAAGGAAGGAAGGAAGGAAGGAAGGAAGAAAGGAAGAAAGAAGGAAGGAAGGAGAAGGAAGGAAGGAAGGAAGGAAGGAAGGAAGGAGGAAGGAAGGAAGGAAGGAGAAAGAAAGAAAGAAAGAAAGAAGAAAGAAAGAAAGAAAGAAAGAAAGAAGGAAGGAAGAAAGAAAGAAAGAGAAAGAAAGGAAGGAAAGTAACTCAAAAAGATTGGAAGTCAAAAAAATAGCAAAAGCACATATGCAAATTTTAGAAAGCAGAATATTGATCTTAATATCAGATGACATTTATTTTAATACAAACACATTAAGTGAGACAAGGAAAAGTATATTAATAAAGTCTGCAATTCACAATAAACATTTTAACAGACACAAATAGTTCTGTTTATTATAAAAGAGCACCAAAATTTTAAAGAAATGCAAGATCAGAGGAGAAACCAAGATAGTGGCATAGGTAAATACTTAACTGCTGCCTCACACAACAATTTCAAAACTAAACTAAAAGACAAAATGAACATCATCCAGAACCACAGGAAAGCGGGCTGAGTGGAAATTCTACCACTAGAAGGAAGAGGAAAGCACACAGAGACTCAGAGGAGCTACAAAAGGCTGAGGGAAGTTCTCCTGGTGTAGACACAGCTGATCCTAAGAGCCAGTTGGCCTGGAGCTCAATCCCTCCTCGTGATACCAACAACAATCAAGACTTAACTACAACAAGGCTGTACACACAGTCCACAAAGGGGTGCACCAAGAGTGTCCACATCAGGTAACTGGAGAGGCCGAGATACGGGGCCTATAGGACACCTAGCACACAAAGCTACTCTACCAACTCAGGGAAGCAGTGAAAATGCAGAGACAAAGAAACAGATCACAAAAGAAAGAAATGAAGGAAAACAAATGACTGGATATAGAGTTCAAAACCATGGTTATAAGGTTTTTGAGAATTTCCTAGAAAAGGCCGATAAACTTAGAGAGACCCTGGAGGACATGAAAAAGGACCAACTAGAAATTAAACATACACTGACTAACCAATGGAGGAGTGATAGTGAAAACGTTGGATTCACTCCAGAGAAGAGGCAACATCTGATGTGGAATACACCAGGCAGGCGGAGAGGGACGCTCACTGCTGACAGAGAAATAGCATGAATACAGATATAACACCACAGCAAGCAGGGAATAATTCACAGAGGCAAGAGATGAGATCTGAAAGATGAAGGGCCTTGGACACATAGCCAAGGAATTTGCACTCTATCCTATGGATAATGGGTGGTCATTAAAGACTTTTGAGTAGAGATGTGGCATGAACTTCAGGAGATTCCTTAGGCATTAGCCCAGAACATGGACTACAGTGGAGACAGACTGGAGGCCAGAGAGCCCTGAGAAACTCTAAGGTAGCTTGGTCTGGAAATAAGGAAAGCCTAAACTTGTGGACTATTAATGGTCTTAGGAAATAAGCCTGGAGGCCTGAGTACATGCTGTGGATGCCCTCCTCTGTCCCTGTCCTATTCCTACATGCCCTGGGCTATGGGAGGGGAGGGTGCTTCAGAGAGGGGAAGTCAGGGAGGAAGGGGAGGTGAGAGGTAGCCCAATCTTCACCTCATGGCTGGCCTACAGAAAAAGAAGCACTGGAGCAATTGGAGGGTGGCTTCCAGCCCCTCCCTCCTTCCCTCCCTCTTGCCTGAGGGAGGAGAGGATCTCACCTTTGAGTAACCCAGAGCTCTCTGTGGATTAATAAATTATACAAGATTTTGTTAAGTGGAAATAATATAACAATGCTCGTTTGTGGAAGAGAAGGACTTGAAGTATGAATATATTTCCTTTGACTTATGCCAGATTCTGTTTTATCTTATAATGAAAACAAAATGTAATGTTTTTCAGTGTCTGGGTTCTGTGAGGCTAAGTTTCCCATTAAAGGGAAATGCTTTGAAGAGGCACTGTAAATGCCATTTTTAAGTTAATCATGTTTATATTGGGGGCAGGAGGAGAGAGGCAACATTGAAGACTAAAATAAAGGTGATTTTCATTAATTGTCATTTTATTTCTTATATTGCAATAGATATTGGAACAAAGTTTGTAGTTAATTTGTCAATTGTTCTCTTGTCATTTTACACCTATTTACATGACCACTTGATTCTCAAAAATTGTTCCAAACAAAATGACAAACTTGGGTTTTGAACAGGTGCACTTCACCTGAAGTAATTCATTTCAGTTCAAACTTGATGCTTTGAAATTAGGATTTTTCTACTGAACTCGAGTTCCATTCACTTCTGTTAGAAACAAACCAGCAGAAGAAACCAAGATGGTGGCATAGGTAAACTCTGGAACTTGCTGCCTCGCACAACCACTTGAAAACTACAGCTAAAAGACAAAACGTACATTATCCAGAACCACAGGAAGGCTGGATGAGTGGAAATTCTACAACTAGAAGGGAAGAGAAAAGCACACTAAGACTCGGAGCAGGTGCAGAAGTAAAGTGCAGCGGTACAGAGGCCCATTAATAAAAGGGCTGGCAACTGAGAACACAGCTGTCTTTCTCAATTGGGAGGGAGACACAAGCTCCCAATTGCTATGAAATCCAGTTCTGAGCAAGACACTGGAGAATCAGACTCATATGGGGAGAAACTGGACTGTCTGGCAGTGGGAAGAACTAGAGGGCAGCTTTTTTCAGAGGTGCTTGCAGTAATTACCAAGGGACACTGAGACCCAGGGGCCTCGTAGGGTAGGGCTGAGAATCATCCATAGCTGTTTGCTCTGCCCTGTTGAACCCCTGAGAACCCACCCCACCCAACCTGTGCACAGAGGCTTTGCATATGAATGGTCTGTTCCTTTGAAATCTAAAACTACCTAACAAACTTCCACTGGGTCAGAGAGACCCATAACATCCAAAAGAAGGCCCAGGGCCACAGAGCACCTTGCATTCATTCACAGCTGGGCTTTAACTGGGCATCTCCAAACCCCAAACAAAGAAGAGAAATCTGTAGATATCTCCCTAGCTCCTGCTGGGTGGCCTCAGGCAGAGGCTAAATTTCAAGGAGAACCAAGAGCCTGTGTACCCAGTGGTCAGAGTGGGACCATCCAGAGTACAACTACTCAAATCCATAAGGGAAACACTCAAGGGGCAGACTCAGTGAGCACTAAAGCCCCACTGAAGCAAGTCTTGCCCCATAAGGGTGTCTCCAGCACAGAAGTTCTCCCATAGTAGACACAGTTGATCCTCACAACCACTTGGCCTGGACATCAGATCCTCCCAGTAATACCAACAACAATCAAGGCTTAACTACAACAAGACTATGCACACAGCCCACAAAGGGGTGCACCAAGAGTGTCCACCTCAGGTAACTGGGGAGGCTGAGCCACTGGGCCCTATAGGACACCTAGTACACAAAGTCACTCTATGAACACAGGGAAGCAGCAAAAATGTGGAGACAAAGAAAAAGGTCACAAATGAAAGGCATTAAGGAAAGCAAACTACTAGATATACAGCTCAAAACCACGGTTATAAAGTTTTCAAGAATCTTCTAGAAACTGCCAATAAATTTAGTGAGACCCTTGAGAATATAAAAAAGGACCAACTATAAATTAAGCATACACTGACTGAAATAAAGAGTAATATTCAGAGATCCAAGAGCAGACTAGAAGATCGCAAGAATCAAGTCAAGATTTGAAATACAAAGAAGCAAAAAAACACCCACCGGAAAAGCAAAAAAGAAAAAGAATCCAAAAAGTTGAAGATAGTGTAAGGAGCCTCTGGGACAACTTCAAGCATACCAAAATCCAAATTATGGGGGTGCCAGAAGAAGAGAAAGAGCGAGATACTGAAACCCTATTTGAAGAAATAATGACAGAAAACTTCCCCCACCTGCTGAAAGAAATAGACTTATAAGTCCAGGAAGCACAAAGAAGCCCAAATAAAAAGAATCCAAAGTGGACCACACCAAGACACATCATAATTAAAATGCCAAGAGCAAAAGACAAAGAGAGAATATTAAAAGCAGCAAGAGAAAAACCATTAGTTACCTACAAGGGAGTACCTATATGATTGTCAGCTGATCTCTCAACAGAAACTATGCAGGCCAGAGGGAGTATCAAGAAATATTCAAAGTGATGAATAGCAAGAACCTACAACCAAGATTACTCTACCCAGCAAAGCTATCATTCATAATCAAAGGGCAGATAAAGAGCTTCACAAAAAAGAACAAGCTAAAGGAGTTTATCAACACCAAACCAGTATTATAGGAAATGCTGAAAGGTATTCTTTAAGAAGAGGAAAAATAAAAAGGTAAAGATAAAAATTATGAAAAAGAAATACATATCTATCACCAAGTAAAACTAAAAATTAAATAAATAAAAAATCTAATGAACAAAATAATCTGGTGAATATAATAGAATCAAGGGCATAGAAAGGGAGTGGACTGACAATTCTTGGGGGGAAAGAGGTGTGATGGTTGTGGCAAGAGATTGGACAAAAATTGTACACCTATAGATGAGGACATTGGGGGGAGGGGCACGTGTAAGGGCAGAGGGTGGGGTGGGAACCAGGTGGAAGGAGCTATGGGGGTGAAAAGGAAGAACAATTTTAATAATCTGAACAATAAATATTTATTTCATAAAAACACAAACAAAATGTACAGGTAATCTGTGCACATTGTAGAAAAGCAAATAAATTCAAAGGAAAACATTCATTGTGTTAGACTTTCACAGTACTCACTTACGTTTACAAAAACTTGTTCTTTCTGATTACACTCCTTGGTAGCCTCCATTTAAAAATTTTAATGGTGAACATCTTTCCATCAGATATTTCAGCAACATTAATGAGTGTATAGTATTTCATTAAATCGATATACCATTGTAATTTATTTAGCCTATTCTTATTATTGGTCACAGTAGTCTAACTAAATCTTTATACATTTTTATTTTTCTTAGTAGAAATTCAGAAAGATGTAAAGTCAAAAGATATAGTTCTCAAGTTGCCAACAATATGACTATCAGCAGTTTTTCATATTTTGCATACTTACCACCACTGGCTATGTTCGTTCTTCTCATCTTTGTCATTGTGACTGACAAACCTGGTATATTTAAATGTTATTAACAGCACTGTGCAGTTTAATTAGCCATTCAAGATCAGTAGCATCTGGTAATATCAGGTCAGAATTGGGATTTAAAAATGAACAGAACCTAGTTGCCAGAAGCTAATTCCAGCAGGTCATAAATGCAAGAAGTTCATCAAAAGGTTGGTGGACCTTGAGCCTTCAGCAAGGGCTGGAAAATACATATTATTGCGTGTTGGAAATGGCTAAGGGCATTTTCCCAAACCTGAAAATGATGCATAAATGATTGCTTGCTGCCAGACACCTGAGGGCATTTCAATCTACATGTTATTGCTTCCTACTGGCCAAACACCTAAACAGCCATAGGCAGTTCCCCAATCTGACAATGGATTCTGTATACTAAACCTTGTCTTTGATATGTATATCTACTTTGCTTTAGAACAATTTGTGTTGATAAAAAGTAAGGGATCCAGAGAGAGGAGAACTTGGTCTCTATAGCCAAGCTCCTCTGGCTCCCCAAAATGCCTTCCAAAATTATGTTTCATCTCTAGACTTCTTAATAATTTACATGCAGCCCTTCTCCAGATTCTAGAACCCTACTAGATGCTGGACAAGACCCCTGGCATCTGGCCAGTGTGGTTCAGTGGTTGAGTGTTGACCTATGAACTAGGAGGTCACAGTTTGTGCTTGAAGCCAAAGCATAACAGTATTGACATGAAAATGCAACAAAGAACCTGGAAGGCCATAAAACTTGGGTGGTCAGCAGGGATGTCACCAGCACAGCATTGCTCCTGCTGTGATTACAATGGCTCAAGGCAATTTCCTGACCTGATAATCTTTACATTGTTTACCAAACTTTACCTTTGATTTGCCTATATGCATTGCTAAAGAGTAAATGTGTATTCAAAGTGAATAAAAGTGGGCAGGACCAGTATACCTCTTCACAAAAGAGGTTTCCATCTGGCCCCCCAATGCCTTCAAAATTCAAATTTCTTATATAGTGTACTTATTGTATCATCGGCTCTGCTGCAACTCATCCTGAACTTGCCATAAAGGTTGTGGAAGGTTTGCCTGGGTTTTGGCTTGATCCCCATTAGGAGGTGTGTAGGAGGCAGCTGATCAATGATTCTCTCTCCCTCTCTCTTCCTCTCTGAAATCAATAAAGAAATATTTTTTAAGTGAACTGATATTCAGCATCTTAACAATTCAAAAGAAGCTACTGCATACTTTTTTCACAAACATGTACACAGAGCCAATACAGTACTAGCTATTGACCCAGCACACCAAGTGTACTGAAGTAGAAAAGATCAAGAAAAATGCTACATTAGAAAGACCTCAACACTTTAGAAAACGAATAGGACACTTTCTGTGTCTCCCCTTAATCCCCTAAAACAACATCATCTGGATCTACCTGTGGTCCTACATCAGCTTCTAGGCCAGGGGTGTCGAACTCAATCAGAGAAGGGGCCAAAATCTAAAATCTAGCCTAAATCGTGGGCCGAATGGTTTACTGAACAGTCATAAACTGACAGTGTTAACCAGAAATGTGAATTTAAAATGAGTGGAACAATCTTTTCCTTAACAGTGCTGTTAACCAACTCACATGCTATCAAGCAAAACAGTAATATTGGTATCAAGCAAAACAGTAATATTGGAATGTACCTAAAATGCTCATTGTTTTGTTTTCTGGCTAGATGTCTGACACCGTTTTCCCCGGATCAATGGGTCAATGTTCGGTTTTATTTCTTGGGCTGTAGCAACCCGCAAAACAGCATGGAGGTTGTCATCGGTAATGCATGATCTGTGCTTGTTTTTGTTCAGATTCATTATTGAAAACATCTGTTCACAAAGATAGGTGCTCCCGAACATGGATAGAATATGGGCAGCATGAAGTCGGAGCTCTGGCATTGAGTCAGGGGGCAGTAGAGGGTAGAAGTCCTCAATT